CTCTGTTGTCTTTATGCTAAGCTAAGCTAGCCGGCTGCTGCAGCCAGATATGAGAACAGTATCAATCTTAACATCAAACTTTCTACCAGAAAGCAAATCAGCATGAAATCCTCAACTATTCCTTTAAATGAAAACTACCTGCATGGCTAGAGACCAGTAGAGGTCAGATAATTTGTTATTTTATTTTTTGGATGAACCAACTCTTTAGCACAGCTGTGGTGCCGAGGGAGAGCGCCAGGGAGAGGCTTTACGGTCAGACACATTCCTGTGAGTTCCAGGCTGTTACATTTTCAGTATAAATCTCTGGTCCATGATGCCCAGCGAAGCATGAGGTGGAACCCAGCACTACAGTGTAGAGGTGCAGAGGGCAAGCATGTTTGATGGCTGCAGTGCGAGGCAGAAAGAGAGGTCAACCGAGCCTCTGTGATTAAAATCTGAGCCCTCTCGATGGCCCTTATGCTAAAGAACTCAGAAAAGTTTGGTTCTGACCACAAGTCTTAAATGTAAAGACTCTTCTTCCTGTGGTTACAGCCTGTACTTGCACACAGGCTCATGTGTATGTGATCGTGCACACACACACTGCGGTGAGTTAATGATCGTTAAGTGTGAGTAAGTTATAGCATGAAACTCTGCTGACCCTTTCCCAGGGAGCCAGTGCTCTCAGGCCCTACAGCAGTACAAATACATCACGCAGGCATGATGTCATCAGGAGTTGCCAGTGGGCAGGATGTTTCCTAACGTGGTAATCGCCCTTCTGTGGGTAGTCACCCGGTACCCAAGAGATCAAACCCTGTGCGCTTCATAGGATAAACATTTAGAGCAATCCGTCCTTTCCTTGCACTCTGTTTTTTATTTCCCCTCTCTCTGATTTAGCTTACGGAAACTATGACTTACTTGTTCCCAGTACTGTGCTTAAAACATTGTTGAATTAAGAGCAACAGAAAGAGGAAAAGAAAGAAAGAGGGAGAGATCATTATGGGGCATCAATCAAATGCACATGGTTTACTTCCAGAGGAAATAATCTGACCCTGATGTGATTTATTGCTTTTTCTAGTTGCTGGTTTGGGAATCAGGTGTAAAGCTAGAGTTAATGGGCTCTACAGTGATGCAGAGTGAGGTGCAGGTAATGGTTGTACAGTTATCTCTAGAGAAATAAAGGTAGTATGGGAAGGGGGGGGGGGTGCTTAAGCTGTCGGTTGAGAGAAGTGAGAGTGGTGCCAGAGGTGAAATCCCCCCCCTGCTGAGCAGCGGAAGCGTGCAGGAGGGACTGAGTGGTGTGAGGGTGGCGAACAGACACTTGGGCTAATGTGAGCCGTCAGATTTGGCCGCTGCTGCTCCGGAGCTCGAGGTGTTGGAGAAGTCTCTTAGGTCTACTGGCCTGGCAGGAGAGGAGGGAGGGAGGGGAGAGAGAGAGGGAGGGAGGGAGGGAGGGAGGAGAGAGAGAGAGAGAGAGAGAGAGGGAGGGAGGGAGGGAGGGGGGGGGGGGAAACAGTTAAAGGATTAGTCTGGTTATATTCGAGTATATCTCTTTTTTTACTGTTAACAAATCCCATTCAACTAAACTGGCAAAAATGTTTCATTATTTCCTTACACAACTATGAACTTGCAAATGTTAGACCAATGGTTAAAGTGTATTTGTTGGAAGACTTTTTTCAGCTGCGGATTTTGATACACTATCAAGAATTTACAGAAGCAGGATGGTGTGTGTCAGTTCCAATGTCTCTGCTAGTAAAATAACAACAGTGTGGCTCCCTAATATGTTTTTAATACGAGTTTTTGGCAAGAGCAATGAACAATATCAGGCTTGGGCTGCACAAAGAGTTGTTGTTTTTTGTTTTTTTGTTTTTATTTACAGAAACAATATACACACCAACATAGTTATTCTTTAAAGGCCACCACATGTTTTATACAAAACACAAGAAGATGTATGAAGATACATTTAAATGTAATGAAATTCAGAGACTCTCAGTAGTAGAGAACATGATGAGGAAGCCGTACGCTGTGGGGGGGGGGGACATAAATAACAGAGGATGCATTGCTAACACTTTGTTCACAGCGTAGTAAACCTCTGGTTGCCAGGTGCACTGAATTTTGGTTGGAGTCGTCATCATCACGATATCTCTGATGTGTGCTGCTGTGCACGTGTGTGGCCCGCAGAAGTCAAATGATGTGGTATGACTCTGCTTCATCAGCAGTTTGTAGTAAATGCAAATCAAACTATAAAAGCAGCTCAAGTCCATATAAGTGTATGTGTGTGTGTGTGTGTGTGTGTGTGTGTGTTTCTCTCTTTTGCCTGTGTGTTGCATCTCTAATTACGGATTACAGAAACCCATAATGATTGTGTTACCGTGCTGTGACGCACAAGATCGTTCGCTTCACAGGATTGTATATTGTGTATTGGAGAGTTTGTGTGCGTGTTTGGGTGTGTGTGCGAGGAGCAGCAACCGATCTAAACGCCGACTACTCAGAATGAAGGACTCATAACCCATGAGAGGGTGTGTTCACCATGTTTGTGGTGTGTGTGTGTGTATGTTTGTGACACAGGTGGGGCGATGGCTACTCACTTCCTCCCAGAGGAAGTCATAAATGCACCCGCGTGGCTCTGACTGTGCCTCTTCCCCTCATCTAATGACTGCCATACTGCTGTAGGAGAAAGAGAAGCACACAGACAACGGCAGAATTGTGGCAGATGCTAAAGCTATAAGCTCTGTAGGCTGCTCTCATTTTCTCCATACAGATGAAATCCATTCAATAAGGAGTGGATATAGAAAGTGTTGTGAGAGAAATAGTTAGTGTGGGAGTTTTACTGCAGCATCCAGCTGTTCTCACAAGAAAAGATAAAGAGATTTAATAGTGAAGGGGCGGGCGGCTGCTCTGGCTCTCTCCCCAGAGGGAGTGCACCTGCGCTGGGCTGCAGGAGGAGGGAGAGCTCCCTGGTGCAGTAGATGAAAAAGCAAGCCCCGGAGCAAAGAGGTATGAAGGAGAAAAGAGAGAGGACACTAAAGACATTGAGTAATTAGATGGATGATGAAATGAAAATAATTGTCCTCACCTTATTTCACTTTTGAATAGAGAAAAGTAGCTCTGTTTAAAGGGACTGCAGGCTCCTAACCACTGTGCTGAGGTCAGACTCAGGTGTATCTTTAGACATTTTCACCATTAAAATATATGAATTGTCTACATGGTGCAGTGCAGATTTGGTGGATAGAGAGTGAGATGTGATCTTGAGTTAATAATACAGCCTAAAACTGGTTTTTAGGAAGAGGTAAATAGTTGTTTCAACCAGTCCAATGTGGGCACAGAGCAGATCCAGGACAATGGGAGCCTAAAGCAAGGCCATCTATTGGCTGCAGAGAGCAGAGCTGTCCCTCATTGAAGAGTAATTAGATCCTTTCTTTACTTCTTCTCTGGCCAATCATCTCACAGTGCTGCCTTTGTATAATGTCCTTCAGCAACTGGGTTTAATACAGACATAAATGAAAGGGGGTGTAGGGGAGAGAGAGTCCGCTGGGAGAACTACATAAGAGCGGAAACATGGCTGAGAAAGACAAAGAGGCAGGTGTGCAGTGAAAGAAATAACACCGCACAAGCTGTGCAGTGAAACATGCATAGCATTTACATCATTGCACACTTCTATTACTACCAGCTGGTGTAGGAGAAGTATGCTGTAGTCAGGAATTATTTAGAATTATAACGTGTGTGTGAGCACTAGGGGGATGATGATAGCTTGGCAAATGTCGGAAAAGGTTTTTTTTTCAACCAGATTTTTGCAGAGTTTAGAGGCAGTCGACTCTGATACAGAACTGTCTTGTTGGCAATGGTGGTTCATGGATAGTTGCTAGAAATGGCAGAGGCAGTGCTTGAGAGATCTGACCTGTCATCAGCTGTGGGGTTTATAGTTTATACTCAACAACATAACTGTATTAGGACTGTTAACTATTGTCTTCATCCACCATGGCATTTTGTGCAAACGTTTGTAGTCTCCACAGGATACATCCTAATCATATTGGTCATCCCCTGACTTTTACTCTTCCTTTTTTAATAGCCAAATTAAAAAGCATAATCTATACCACAAGGAAGATCCTTTTTAAACTTCAACAACACTTAAGGTAAACCTAAGGTTTATGACCACACTTATTGAGAAGAAATGTTCTTGAAATGCCACCGGGGGTCTGGGGAGATGACGTATTGTCTTCACGGTTTTTGCTTGATAATAAATCATTTTAAGTGTCGGTGTGTATCTGTTTGCATGTGTTTGTATGTGTGGGCGGTCTGTCTGGCAGTTAATAAAGAGGGAGGTGGAGGGAGAGCCAGGAGATGATGAGAGACAAGGCGCTGACCCCTGGGACGTCCTGCTGGGACATGAGAGGAGCAGGGTCAGGGGGGCCACGTCTTGGGGGTGCAGGGGGTGGATGGACTTGGAAACCTGGGATGTGGGGATGAGAGAGAGGAGGGGATGGGGCACACCAAATATTGAGCCCCCAACTCATGAGAACCAGATGAAGGGCAGACTGGATTACTCTCTGGGGCTGCGAGAGGAAGAGAGGGAGAAGAAAGGGGCTCATAAAGCTGTCAGAGTCCGCCTGCATCTCTCTATCATGGCTCAGTGTGCGCCAGCTGCATGGCTCCGAGTGCTGGTCCTCATGAATGTTTCAATCACAAACCAACATGTGTACTGCATAACTGTAGATGTGTTTAATCTGGGACTGACCCAGAGCCTGACAAGCTATGTCAGCTCCTTGCTAACAGCTCAGGTTGAGAGACTGTGAGAAGAATATATTGAGAAAGAAGTAGAGAACAAACGTGTCTTGTTACTCTGTAAAATGCAACTCAATACCTCACTATAAACTCTTTAGTTTCATATGAACACATAGTACCTGTTCCTATCCCTGCTGTTAGAGAGGATGGATGCAAAACGCTTACAAAAGTGACATTCTCTGCAAGCATACAATGTGTCTGATAGTATAATTTTTTATTTTCACCATCTCTTTTTTCTGCAGTAGAGCACGATAAGGAATTCCTTCCAGTGCGACGGCATCACCGTGAGTTCAGATTCGACCTATCACGAATCCCAGAGGGCGAGGCGGTCACTGCTGCAGAGTTTCGTATTTATAAAGACTTCATCCACGAGCGCTTTGACAATGAGACCTTCCGCATCAGCGTCTTCCAGGTGTTGAAGGAACACACTGATAGGTGAGCATGGATATAAGTTGTTTTGTTTATAGTAATGTAAATGTTTTGTTATTGTTTTCATGCTCCTAAGCAATGACAACATTTGGAATAGTGCTCCTAATGATTTCATTTATAACCAAATAACTCCAAAACCACTGAACCTTAGCTGTCCCTTCTTTATGCAGGTTGTTGATAATGTGCATCATTTAAAAATCACTTTGGGATCCAGGAATTTGTGATATTTCCCTTTGTCATTATGTTCCTATGTTGTAGACACAATTCATTACAAAACCTAACATTATCAATTATTAAAATTAGCATTCGTAGCATTCTTTATCTTGAAGCTTCTCTTATTAAACTGGTCTTAGCCCCACCTCCTCCACAAGGCTTATCGTGGACGTCCAAAAGGTGTATGTAACTCGGGACAGGCCGGGGTCCTGCTCTCCTCGACCCCTCCTAAAGGTTTCTGTTGTCCAGAGGGAACAACACAGTCATTTATCCCTTTGCCAGAGACGGGCCTGGGTACATGAATGAAGCAGAGCTCTGTGACACATTATCTGCCCAGTCAGTAAATAGGTCGGGATACATGAATGGCCACATGAAGAACAAGGGATTGTAGTCTCCCATGTTGAAAGAGTAAAAAAAAGAGTTCAGTGACAGACAATAGGATTGACTTGGATATGCACTATTTCACTCTCTACTTTTCACACACTTTCCCCCACTTCCGCAGCTGTGTTTTTGCTCTCTCGCCCTCTCTATATTTATATCTCTTGCACTTTCTCCATTTGGCTCTCTGTCTCTCCCACAAGATTCCAGCCAGTGATGGACTGTGCGTAGTGTATGAAAGGACCGGTCGTTTATAAAGCCATTATTGTCAATTAAGAAAATGAAGTGTTCCCCTGGGCCTCACCATCTGGAGCCTCCCTCCCTCACTCTCTCTTCTTGCTCCATCTCTTTGTTTTACTCCGTCACACTCTTCTAACTCCCTCTCTCTACTCCATTACTTTGCGCTTTGCTCACTTTGCTTTACCCTTCACATGGTTTTAAATATTTCGTAATTGTTCATATAACCCCTGTTGATCTATGTTCATCTCTGACTTTAAGTGTTTGATCTTCTCGTCCTCTCCAGGGAGTCGGACCTGTTCCTGCTGGACTCCCGTGTGATCTGGGCAGCAGAGGAGGGCTGGTTGGTGTTCGACCTGACAGCCACCAGTAACCACTGGGTCCTGAACCCCGGCAGGAACCTGGGTCTGCAGCTAGCCCTGGAGAGCACCAACGGTGAGTGTCTCCAGATCAGTGTTTTCACACACATACTGTAGGAAGTCACAGGTGGCCATGTTACCAAGGACCAGCAGCTATGTGCATTATAAGAGGAAAAAAACAAAGGTGATTAGACGAGGTGATTAGGAACGAGGTGATTAGGAACCAGAAAAAAACCCATATAAATAAATAAATGTCTTAATTTCAATTTGACTGTTTCAACAAGAATCATACAATTCAGATGTTATTTGTTCTACTTTTATTGTATTGGGTTTGCTAAAGATTGCAGATATAGACATAGTGGCACACAGTAGCTATTCTAATTAGAATTACAGTATCTAATTCAGTTAAAGGTAGGGTATGTAAGTTTGAGAAACCGGCTCGAGATCGCTAGAATTTGAAAATACACGACCGGAGAAAATCTGCCACTTCCTTACAGAGCCCCTCCTCCAACACACACGAACGCGAACATGACCAATGAGGGCATGAGATAAGTTTGTGCACAGATGGAAGGCTGACAGGCAGGTAGGCCATCCAGTTATTTTAGCCGGGCTGGCTAAAATGATTGGTCGTGCTTTCTACAGTACCACGGCTTCCACAGATGACATTTTTTAATGGATTTTTTGTCAAAGCACTTAAGATATTCATTGCTATCGGGATGTTAAGAGCATTCCATGGAATATAATAAAAAGTGTATCTCGAGCCGGTTTCTCAAACTTACCTACCCCACCTTTAAAGTAGTTACCCATTATTTCACGGTTACCACTTTTACTTTTACTTAATATTCCTTAGTGAATTGAAGAAAGATTTTGAATGCAGAAGATGCAATCTGATGTGTACAACGTAATGGAAGTTTGTTTACTTAAAAGCATTTATACTTTATTAAATATGTAGTGATTAAAACAACTTTAGTAAAAGCGTTATTGAAATAAGGGAAGTATTGATAACATTCATTCATGAAGTCAAACATCCACATCAACTATGTATGCATCACTGTAATGTGTTAATTTGTTTAGACGTCTGCATTATCATTCAACAATCATAGCCGTTCTCTTGAAGGCCGAAACATCAGTTGATTTATTGTTTGTGTGTACACAGCAAAGATAAGTCAAACCGTGCTCCTCATCATCGTTCATTCATCCTCGTCTTCATCCGTCATACCCTCAGCATCATTAGCAGGCATGCAGAAAGTCCCTGCGTTATCTTCAGGATAACATCTCAGCAGGAGTTTGTCATCACTGGGCCTGGATGTTAGTCAGTGGAAAACGTAATCAACGAACAGTGTGTGGAGTAAAAGAGCGTGTTTGGGAATATTATCTCTGAGGATGGCAGGATATTACATGTTAGCTGAGGAAAACACACAGGGAATTGCTTTCATGTTGTGGGAGGGGAGTGCTGGAGAGATGAATCCATGAGTGTGTGTTTGTGTACGAAGGGTTATGGCTGAGCATGCACAGACAGGCACACGGGACACCCCGTCGCCAGCGGCGACCAGAAGCCTTGATTTACCACATAATGGCGATCAGACACACATTCTTGTATAGACATTGCTGGAGAGCACATGCACGAGCATGCACCAACACACACACACTCTCAAACACAAGAAGAGAGGCTTTGATGTTCAGAGCTACGTTTGGTCTTGGTATTTCAGAGGTGCAGAAGCAATGAGAAAAAGGGAAAGGAATTCACAGAGGGAAATCTCATTTGCAAAACAGACAAAAGTGGTGGCAGTGAGGATGGCGAGGACCTCACGCATGCAACATTAACTCCAAACACAGGCACCCCAAGTGGGCACACATCTATTGGATTTCCCTTTCTCTTTGATTATCGAGCTGTTTGAATAAAAACGAAATGTCAGTGATGTTAACACCTGTTGTACCGGTCTCTCTGTCCCCCCTACAGGAGAGAGCATCAACCCTCGTGTAGCAGGGCTGATTGGTCGCAGTGGGCCTCAGAATAAACAGCCCTTCATGGTGGCCTTCTTCAAAGCCACTGAGGTGCACCTGCGAAGCATCCGCTCAGCACAAGGAGGGGCCAAACAGCGAAACCCCAACCGCTCCAAAGGGACAAAGAACCAAGAGGCACTGAGAGTGGCCAATGTTGCAGGTAAACACACAGAAATGTGTTTGTCTTTTTTTTGGAGAGGAAACCATGGAATGGGACACAAATAATTGGAATTCTCTAATTGGTAGTCACTGGCATTCAAACACAAATATACACAATATCCAGACCAACATATGACATTGGAACTGATCTGCTTCTTGCGCGACAAAACACGCAATGCATACTTGGGGCCTTTGTTTTAGAGGTGTGAGAGGGCTGTGTTTATGTGAAGTGCTGAAACACTAGACTGTAATGCCTGAGCTTCAAATATCCCTCTGCTGTCTTTGTTTATTTACACAAGCATTACAGAGCGGTCGGGGCCAAGTTCCCTGCATGGAGGTAAGGCATTGCAGGCTTTTATGGCAGAACACATCTGCAGTGTGCTGTGGGGCAACCGGGGCCACAACACATGGGCCAAATGGGCCTGTTTGGAACTTTGGATAGCAGCGCTCTTTAACTGGATGATGAGAACCAGTCGCTCATGATCGTTTCCAATGTGAACCACCCTCAGGAACTAATGTACCACAGAGCCCCAGAGGTCACCAGAGGAAGCGAGAGAGATACTATTAGATAGAAAACAGACCATTATTTTTTGCGTGCAGATGGGGTAAAGGGGAAAATAGATGTTGAAATGGGTGAAGAGAAATGAGAGAGAATAAATAAAGGGTTTGGGGAAAAACTGCTCTCTGTGCACATCTGTTTTACCCAGAGGAAACTCAAAGCACGCCATAGTGACCTATAAGCAGGGTGGCCCATTCATTTGAAACAATTACCAAATTGCTGCTGTATCTGGAGGTGGTTTCCTTCTTTCATTGTTTAAATGTTAATGTTTTGAATGAGGAAACTGGCTGTATTTAGGTCTGTTCTGTATCATCTCTGTCTAATTGTGGTTGGACTGCAGTAAATAGTTACTCTTCTAGCTGTATGGGATAATGGCACATGTGTTGGAGTATAATTTCTCTCCGTCTGTTTTTCTTCCTCAGAAAACAGCAGTACTGATCAGAAGCAGGCGTGTAAGAAGCACGAGCTCTACGTCAGTTTCAGAGACTTGGGCTGGCAGGTACGGAAAGCATTTTGGTCCCAAAATTAGATTATAAATAATGCATTGTATGCAATAGATTTACAAAATACTTTAGCGCTTAGTTTTTTTTCCACAAGGAACAAGTCAAGAACATTTCTACAGTTTCAGCTGGGTGTACTCAATAGAATATCCCCAAACATTGTCCTCTTGCTGTCCAGCTATCAAACAAGATGAACTTTTAATGTTTTTAATATTTTTAATCAACAAGCTTAGAATGCTTTCAAACTTCATATAGGTTGCCCTGATCTTTTCATTTTATATCACGATTGGGCCAAGCGGGAAAATGTACATTGAGAACCCCAAAACATGAGTCAATTAACTGATTTGTCTGAGGACAAAAATAAATCTGTAAAACATTTCAGTATTTTAAAAGAGAAAATGACAGTGGTTCCTTCCTTTTTTGATTTTGTGTCTTCTGATTGTATTTGTCTTCTATGAGAGTAGATCAAATGTATTTGAACAATATTTCAACATTTTATAGACCATAAAACAAAAATATGCAAATAAAATGTCCTGTCTACATTTATAATTTAATTATCTATAATCATTTATTAGATTAAAGTATGTATAATTATAATATTCTTCTAAAGGACAGCATAATCAAATATATGACAGTAATTGGGTCTGCTCTTTTAAGTACAAAATTGTTAATTGCAAATACAACATTATGCACCTCTTAGTATCAGGTCTCTAAGAACAGATAATGAAATACAATTTTAAAATTCTCCAACCTGATTTTCTCTCCGTCTCCCTCTCCTCTCTCAGGACTGGATCATCGCTCCTGAAGGATACGCGGCCTACTATTGTGAGGGAGAGTGTGCCTTCCCGCTGAACTCCTACATGAACGCCACAAACCATGCCATTGTGCAAACCCTTGTGAGTAACCATGAAGGCAGGAAACACAAACCCAGCCGTCATGTTAGGAGTCTAATCATTTCATCAACTGTCAGAACAATGTAGCCGCTGTTGCAACTACTGTATTATATGAGTTTCACATTGTATTTTAAAATAAACTGTCATCCATGATGTGACAGCAGAGGAGGTCAACATAAAAAAACTGCCTTTTTCCCACAGTACTTGGATTTAGTGTATAACCCTTTGTCATACATCTTTTCCCCCATTTTTCAATATGAATTTGTGATGTAAGGATGATTTTAACATTTGATCTCCCACTTCTCTTCCCAGGTTCATTTTATTAACCCGGAGACGGTTCCTAAGCCTTGTTGTGCCCCCACACAGCTCCACGCCATCTCAGTGCTTTACTTTGATGACAGCTCTAATGTCATTCTCAAAAAATACCGCAACATGGTGGTCAGAGCTTGTGGCTGCCACTAGACTCTCAGCATCTTCACATCAAGGCACACACTCATGAGTAGAAAGGGCTTCTTCTTGCTGTCAGGCTCCACTTGGAATGGATTAAAAAAAAGATGAATATATTTGTTATGAACCATCTGAGTGTCTCCCATGTGGAGGATACTGGTGTTTTATTTTTGAGGTCGTCTTGATGCAAACCCACAGTTGTGCGGCTGAACAGGAATTTGATTCAATTTCAGACTCCTCGCCACATGTGCAGACACGCAACATACAAACAAACACGCACACACACACTCACGTTTGTGCTTTCTACTGTGTATACAAGACATTAAAAGCAGTGATTGTACTGTATATTCATCCACAGTCAACAATCTTTTGTTTATTTCAATAATTGTTATTGTAGTTGATTCTTTTACTGTAGATTTTATTATATATATATATTTTTATGACTGAGAGAGACTCGAATGGATTTTCTGAATTTCTTCGATGTACAATACTGTGTAAATAATTTTTTTTCAAACAAAGCAAGAAGTGTATTTATTTCCTAGAATGTCACTTGGGTTTGTGTTTTTCTCCTGTATGTAATGCTGCCTGTTTTCTTTCGCATCTTAGTACACACAAACTCTAAGAAAATCAAAACAAAGCTGACAGAAAAATACTCTGACACGAGCGTTCAGCTGAAACTCGAAGCGCCTCCCGTGTACATGTGCTACACAGGCAGAGGCCGTTTATATTTCATCTTTTACATTTTTATAGCAACAATCAGCCTAACTGTCAGAGAGAAGGAAGACTAGAGAGATGGAGCTTTGTACGAAGCATCTTGTTTTGTGTGGTAGGCATTTTCAGGTGTATATTCCTCTGCTGTAATACAATCTGTCATATTTAAAAAGGTCTATTTATTGAAAGCTGGCTAAGATGTACAGTGTGCTCCGATGTCTCAACGATGTTTTACTGCTGAACTGGTACAACAATAAACTGGGAGAAAAGCAACAAAAACACCTTGAGGTGTGTTTAATCTGAATGAAAGACAGAATTAATTTGACATGCTGTTCTTGACACATTCCTTTGCTACACGCTTTATCTGATGAACTGATATACTGAATGTTAGTGTGTTGCCTTTCCGTGTGCGATAGCAAACCAAGAACTGTTCAGTGTATTCCTGTTTCTGTTGAGGTGTCTTTGTGGTTTATGCCTGTGACAGATGTGAGTGTTCTGTCTTGTGGTGGTTGGATCTTTTCACATGCATTTTAATGTACTGCATGTTCTGTATTTCATCTCTACCATAAAGCCATTAATACATATTTTTGGGCAATTCATTGAGAGAATTTCTTTTAGAATTTGCAGTACAAACCAATGCATGTGCATAGTATCCACTGGTTATTGTTAATATCGATTGCATCTTGCAAATAATACTGCTTACAAGCTTGATGTTAATGCTATTTATTTCATGACGTAATCTACCTCTAGTTGTACACAGTTGCCTGGTTTATAAAGAACAAAACATAACAGTAACCAACAACACAGGTTTACACTGCCCTCTGCTGGGCAAAACTAAACTGTCTGTTTACACATCGTAATGTCACACTAGGATCCCTTTTTCATAGATAAGCGCTGTCTTATCGATCTGAACTTTGCATTTGTATTGTCCGCCTGCCTGCTTTGAGTAATGACCATAGCGTAATGACCTGATGTGTAAAGAAACGATTACATCTCCAGTTAGAACCATAAAGACTGCATGGAGGAGGCGGAGTTCATACAAAAAAGTCCCCAACTCCCACACACTTTCATTTTCACACGAACGTTTCAGTATGGTAGTTTAGGTGTGCTGTGTGTGTGTGTACTGTGTGTGTAAATAATAACGCTTATTGGTGCTGTACCATTGCCCACATGCTGACTGCTGTGGAGGGAAATGAAAAAGAGAATTTTCCAACAGAACTTCTTTTAATTTAGCAGTTTTGTTGATGATGATTGTGACCTGGCTTTTCATCCTACTTTAAATGTTGTACGATATATATATTGATATGGCTGCCATGTTTGGATCAGTCATAAGCTTTAATTATATAAAGCTTTGGTTTGCCTTCTGGCAAAGTAATATAATCCAACACAAACTAAAACGTTGCATTATACATGTGCGTAAATTACTTTCACTTAAAGACAGTCCGTTCCACTGATCCAGTGAGTAACCTGCCGGTGTGTCCCCCCTCATAAACTTCACTTGACGCGTTACATATTAAACTGTAGCTGCATGAGGAAACCGAAAGTATCAAATGATCTCTAAGCTTTCGCTTTCCCTTCCAAGAGCGCACTATACATTTAGTAAGGACTTCTGCATTCACATGTGAGGTCTGTTTGTCTACAACTTTCTTTTTTGTAATCACTGCATCATATTATCAGACTTTATTATTGTGAAACTTATTTTATAGGCTTGAGTAGCATTAGAATAATTAATTATTGGAATTTGTTTTTTCGCTTGCAAGGTGCGAACGGGATTAAACTGCTCACATGCATGTCTGACATTTGGAAGTGAGGCTTTGTTCCTTGTAAAACAGCAGTCAGTGTTGGAGATGGAAGCCAAGATGCACATGAAAGAGTGGCTGGTAGCTCAGATAGACAGTGGGAGATTTGAAGGACTGTGCTGGGAGGATGAGGACAGAACCATGTTCAGGATCCCGTGGAAGCACGCAGCCAAGAAGGACTACAAGCAGACGGAGGACGCAGCTCTCTTCAAGGTCCATACTGTTTTACATTATTAAACATAACATCTGAAAGATATGGTCGGATCGCGTTTTGAATGCGTTATGTAAAGGAATTAATGTAGGAACTTCAGGCGACTGTTGTAAAGGGAGTTTCATGAAACTATTATGAAGTGTTTTTTTAAGCCCTAAGTTAACAAGTCTATACATTAATCACAAAAAACAAAAGATGTTGAGCTCCTTATTTTTCCTTATCCTTATTATATTAGGCCTTCTTATTATTAAGTAAAGTATAATAAATTATAGCCTGTTTATCATGATCTGTTATCATGTTGCACAGGTTTCAAGTAGCCAGGTTCCTATTTATTTAAATAATTATATATGTTATCTCTTTATATAAGATTAGGATTTTTATAAAATCTTTTTTTTTGTATCGTTTTCTCAAGTCCTGAAATATATGATTCTTGTTAGTTGATTGGAGAACATCTTGAATGATACCTTCATGTGCTGTATCAGATTGTAGCTCAACAAATACTCAACACATTATCTTGTTGAATAATGAATACATTGGTTTATTGAACAGATCTGTAAAATAAAGGATCATGCAAAACCACCACTGCATTCAAAAGAGATGTGCCCTTACATTTCTCAGAAAAAAGTAATTCAACAAAAAAACAAAGAAGCATTTAAAATGATCTGATTAACTACTCTACAAATTAAAGAAATCTCAGTTAATTATGACCCAATCATAAATAATTATTTCTCAATGCTGAACCTAAATGAATAACATCTAAGTCTTCACATCCAGGCATGGGCTGTGTACAAGGGAAAGTACAGGGAGGGCAGGGATAAAGCTGACCCCACCATGTGGAAGACCCGTCTCCGCTGTGCACTCAACAAAAGCACAGACTTCCTGGAGGTCCATGAACGCAACCAGCTGGACATCACTGAACCCTATAAGGTCTATTTTATCCAGCAAGATCAAGGGTCAGCCAGGCCACGAGGTAAAAGTGACGCCAAATGGCCGTTTCCTTTTAAAAATGTTTAATGGTTATTATATCTGAGCTTGTGTGGTGTGGTGTAAGAAAACAATGCACCAGAATAAAAAGAGAACAAGTTAATTCATGCAAACAAAGCAAGGAATGAAATGTGTTTATATTTATTCTTCTCTCAGCTAGCTTTTGATACGATTTTGATAGCATCGCATGCTCTCGTTTTTGTTCCCACTTGTTGCTCTCCATAGAGTTTCCCCGGACAAAGGATCAAGTGTACATCGAGGCAAAAAGGTCTCAGGTAGGTTAAAACACAAGTGCAATAGCATACCTGGGTCATTCTACAGAAAAGGTGGAAGTGCTGTCACTTACTTTTGCAGACACCAAAATATATGACGTTGACCTAATACTCACATTCATTATATATGTTGAATAAATAGAGATTGTCTTTGCAATGGTACTAAATAAAAAATGGTTTTATACATATATTGCAATTTATTTAAAATGCCAAGTTCAAGGAACTGCCTTGTCACTTTGATCATACATGGAAGTGGAGCCTATAGTTTTCATTTAACATTATTCATTTTCAATAAATAAATCTCATTCATAATTACATAACATTACAAGCATTAAATATAACACTGAAATGGTAAAAGAAAACGCAAGTTAGTATTAATAATATCCAATAAATGTCAGTCACCCAAAATTACGTCATTGGTGTTATTGCTACACAAAACGCTTTTATTTTGAAGTAATGTACTGTCTCTGAAGTGCCTCCTGTAACAAGAGATCATTTGAGACAGTGCAATGGACAAAGACATAAGGAAAGTCAGATACTTCTTACTTTGTTTGTTAAAGGTGTCATTTTATCTTCAAATTTTACATGCGTCTTTCAAGTCTGTCATTAGTGTTACTCATTGCATAGCCCTAGGGGTGAACATTTGAATGGGAAAATGTATTGTATTGAAGAGTTCAACGATTTTGATATTGACTGAAGCCACATTTGGTCTGACACATTGCAGCCATTTTGTTAAAATGGTAGTGTTTTCTCCAAATTGTCACTGGTGTTACTCTTCTTCCTGGTAACACGTAACACCAGTGACATTCCTATACAAATAAGCTTTGTATAAATTATAAAAATAATAAAAATACTTTAAGCTACTTGTTGTGGATTCATCAAGTTAAGAGTTAGTTATTGCTATTTAACAGGTTTTAGATGTGTTTAGAAGGAATATATTTCAGCAAATTTGTATCACCCAGATTCCACCTTTTCTGTAGAATGACTCACCTACACTACCTTAACATTTGGTTACTGCATGCTAATTTAAGAGTTTCTTTTAATTTCCCTTCTTTCTGTCAGTGTTTAGAGTTTTTGAAACAGGTGGATATCAGGGATGAAAATCTGATTTTGCTGGCAAAGATATAAAAACACAAAAAGAGACAATTCCAGTGAAAAGATTATGGATGTATTTATTCTTAGTGTCTCCTGGTAAATATTTTCTTTTTTGATACTACCACTATGAGTCATAGAGCCAGAAATGTTCAAACCCGACAGTACAGTACGTTTAGCAGGTTTGACTATTGGTTGTAATTTAATGCTTAGACTTTGTATGAGTGGCAACATTTGTTGGAGCTTTCCACATCCATAAAGAGATGCTGATCAACGGTGTGTTTTTGGCAGCAGAAAACGTTTGGGTTGTTCGGGAAAATCAATTTAAAGTGCTCTGATCTCTACAAAAAAAAAAAGAATTCTGATCCTTATACATTAATAAGCCATAAGCTTCATACTCTATTAAACATTTTTTTGTTTTTGCATATTCATTGTCAAAAGGAATTGTTTCATACAAGTAACGAAGACTTCAAACCACTGACTGGTAAGGTTCACACACACACACACACACACACACACACACACACACACACACACACACACCACACACACACACACACACACACACACACACACACACACACACACACACACACACACACACACACACACACACACACACACACACACTGATACTGTTATGTTTAGGGATGATCCAAAGCTAAAAATGGGAAACTATAATTATTCAAGTCATGAAATGTTTATCATCCCTGTCAAAATCTCGAGTCCCTATGGTGAATTACTTAATATATAAAATTAACAAATATAAATGGACCCCGCTTAATTTGAAGAAACAGCACCTAACTACTGCCCCGTGTTCAGCCCTCATCTTAACGTTGGTAGGAATTTTACTTGTGAACTTGTATTTTACTGTTACAATGTACAGTAATGAATAATCTCTCTACTCTGCTTTAGATAATCTGATGAGAGAGCACATGTATTGTGAGCTCACAGGAAAAAAGACTCTAAATCAGAGCCCTGCTCCTACGACCTTTCTTACCTCTACACATACTGTATCAGGTGAGTTCATGGGATAGTGCATGTTAATAACTGTGCAATATATACCTGGCTGCTATATCTTCAGAACTGTTACAGGATGTATATTTTGTAAATTGTGTAATTTATTTAACTTTTTTATCTTTAATATTTTTTTTTATGCATGCTTCTTAGTTAACATTAAGCTGTCTTTGGCTCTTTTCTGCTGTAACAAACGTAAATGTCTCCTCTGTGAGACGAATAAAGGTATTCTGATTCTGATTCAAAAAATTCAAAAAACTTAACATGCCACTGTATGACCTGAAACACTTTGTGTGTGCAGACTTTCGTATGCAGGTGACGTTGTTGTACCAGGGCCACAGTGTGACGAAGGTGTGCACCAGGAGCCCAGAGGGGTGCTTCATCCTGCAGGGCCACGTCCCCTTGGGAAACGAACAGATCTACGGGCCCTGCACCGCCCAGCAGCTCTCCTTCCCGTCCCCGGATGCTGTATCTCTGCCGTCGTGTATGGCTGAAGCAATGAACCGCCTTCTTTGTCATCTTGAGAGGGGGGTGCTATTATGGGTGGCCCCAGACGGGGTGTTCATCAAGCGGTTTTGCCAGGGCAGGGTGTACTGGAGCGGTCCCATGGCCCAACACACCGACCGGCCCAACAAACTGGAGCGAGAAAAGACCTTCAAACTGCTTGACATACCCAGATTTCTCAATGGTAAGAGGGTGCATGAATATATAAAATAATAAATGTAGTATCAGCCAATAAAAAGCAGTTTGATTGAATTAGTTAGTCATAAATCAAGACGCTAATTGTTGAGGATTCTTTACGGCTTACATTATTGCTCTATGCAAATGCACTATTTTAATTTAATTTGTATAGCACTTTTCCTAATGCTCAAAGACGCTTTACATAAAATCAATCATCAGCACAAAGGTGGAGAAGTGGCAAACAAGCAACGCTAGCATCCTCTCTCACAGCAATCTCTAATAATATATATATAATAATATACAATGTTTTTGTACAGAGCTTCAGTGCTGTTTACAGGGGGAGGGACCTACACCTACTTATGAGATTGAGCTTTGCTTCGGAGAGGAGTACCCAGACCCCGACATACCTAAAAACAGAAAGCTGATAATGGCGCAGGTTTGTTATTTGACTAAATGTAATATTTCAATGTTTGATGTTATCCTTGAAATAAGGGATTTAGTTTAGACATACATTACTTTCATATTTTCACCTCACATTCACTTTGTAATTTCTATTGAACATTTTCATTACCCAGTTGGACGCCTTGTGCAGGTTTCTCTGTTAAATTATAATTACAGTTTTGTAGACAAAAGGATGTACGTTTCATTCTTTCTTGATTCTGTCACATACCTGCATTTTAAGTTGTATATTCTGTTTAAACTACTCTATGAAGTGAAATAATACTTAAAGTGTACTGTCAACAGTGTGTCACTGTGATTTGCAGTCATGGGTTTGATCCACCATGACACAAAGACACAAAGAATCGTGCAATTCTTCTCTACATGGAAGTGCAGCTGTAATTCTTTGCCAGTAGATGTCCTCAAAGGCATACTGATTGATACTGTCCTGTTTGCCAGGTGGTGCCCTTGTTTGCAGTGGAACTCATGCAGAGGTTCAACTGTGAAGACCGAGGATAAGCGGCCGATTCTCACCTCCAACACAGGAGGACAGGGGAAGCTACCTACACCGGGTTAGCCATGAACAATATACACATGTGGGTAACTGAAGCCTCATTCCTTCCCCTGTCATCATAATGAAATATATCCTAAGAGCAGAGCAAACAATATAGAGTATTGAATGAAGAAACAATTGTGGTTTTGCATTATAGATCTTTCCTGCAATGCATGAAAGGAATTTCTTTATGCTTATGTATTACCTTATATTAATTTCATTAATCAGCTGTTGTCAAACCAGATTTCTTGTTTCACCAATAAATCATGCTGATAAGATTGTATTTATGTAAAAAAATATGCTTGTATTTTTTGCAAACCTCATATTCAGCATCTGTAATAAATAATAATTTAAGTGTTCAGTACTTGACACATGCAGAGAATAAATTCACACATTTAATTAAATCTATAAAGCTTTTTTTCCTTTATTTCTAGCGAACATCATAGAACAGATTCACAATTTTTAAAAATATACATTTTTGTAGCTATAACATTTAAAAAGAAAATCCACAGGTAAGGTTTTTTTTAAATAAAAAAAACACAAAAACTAAAGTGAGAGAGTGTGCTGAATCAGAGGAGATACCCGTATCTGAGTTTAAAATACTTTCATCATTTTCCCTGCCTTCAAACAAATACAGTACATAAAAAAATGAAATGGGAACCGAAGCGTACAAGGGGTCAAGAGTGTTCACAAAGCATCATGTTCCAACTTGTTACTAGCACCATTACTCGTCAGCCATACTGCACTTCCTACTCTTTCCATCATTCTGTTTTTAATGGAAAAACACCATGAGTGTCGAGGCGATGTGGCACAGACCTGTCTGTGTGGGCGGGATTGTCTGTTACGCAGTTTTCATTAGTGTTCTCCCTCTCTCAGAGAAAATGTTAAGAACATATTGGAGGGTAATGCCTTGAAGAACAATCATTTGTTTTAAATGACACCCAGTGATGAGAATAAAAAAAAGGCTATAAGTTGCTCATACATTCACATTGCCTGCCTAGGCCGACATGTAGACATCGGCTCAGCTGCAAGACAATTAAAGAAACAAAAAATGCATCGCGAAATCGACAAAGAGATTGCATTAAATCTGTTTAGCATATGTACTGTATTTAACATCTGCAATGTAATATATATAGTCAACCTTTGTTCATATATATCTGCACTTCTTCAATAGCGTTTACTTTCATAACACTGATTGGAAGTCAATACCCTGCAGAACACACTGTCATTAAGTAGGTGTGTGCGACAACCATTACAAAAACAGTGAACACAGACAAGTGCTTGATTGTCTCACTAAATGTCTTCAGTGTCTGTAAGGAGCCATCTAGGGATCCTTCTGCTGCTGCTCCTTTTAGGGGTGTGCTAAGTAATGTTGAGGGGAAGAAAGGAAAGGATAGGAAAGGAGGGTGCAACAAGGACCAGACTAGGGAGGGGGTTAATATTTTGGGCAGCAGAGTGGGCACCCGTAAATTGCGTTTTCCTTTTTTTGTATTCCTTCCCTGCAACCCTACCTTGAGGTCTCTCCATTGTCTTCTTGGTGGGTGCAACAGAGACTAGGAGGGTGTGTATGTGCTTATGTGTGTGTGTCAGTATGCATATATGCATTTCCAAGTTTCTACTGCCACTTCATTAGCTTGGAACCATGAGGTAAATCCATGAGGCTTTCATCAGTGCCGGTTGAGGGTAGGGTATCCGGGGCAGACCAGCGCCGTTTTCGCAGACGTTGCTGCTCCTGAGCAGGGGGGACTGCAGCCAGCGCCCGCCGAGGGGCCGGTGCAGCAGGAGGTGGGTGGTGAGAGAGAGGGGGGGGGGGAGGTGGAGGTGGCATCTCCTCCCTGTGCAAGCTGCTGGGATCTCCTGCAGCCCTTGGGGGGAGTTGCGTGCGATGGGCCCTGGAGCCAGTACGCGTGCGTGTCCGGTGGGTTTGGGTGGGGGTGGGGGTGAGAGCCAGGCAGACATCGCCTTCCATGAGCTGGCGACAGGGCAGGCCGTACAGCTGTGAGGTTCTCTGCGGGCAGCAAGAAGACCAGCCTCGGTCCTGCACAAAGAATGGATACTCCACCAAGACCTTCAGTAGCTCCTACAGAAAAGCACAACAATGTTATACACTCAACAAAGAGGGATTCAATGTCTGTAATCAGAAAGTTAATAACACCTCAATGTGACTTTGGTGTGCAATAAAGTGTGTTAGGAATTAGATTAAAGATGGGTAATCTACAGCCTCAACTGCACTACATTAACAATCATCTTTCCATGCAGTTTTTTATGAAATTATCTTCTGATTGTGCTGGTAAAAACATATCTGCTACTCAAATGAAGATATTTTAGGATAAAGCTGACCTGAGTGTTGCGGTCTGTGAGGTGGACCTGCAGGTGGCTGAAGCCCTGTGTGCTGCTGGGGGAAATCAGCAGCACAGTGCAGGTGCTGAGGTGAAACTCGGGGGAGGTATCTGCGCTCCTCAGGAAGTCTTCGGTCCGCAGCTCCTCCACCTGCTTCAACCGGCCGCTGGCCAACTCGATCAGAGAACCCTTGGTGAAGTGAGGTAGGAGCGCAGGGGGTGAGGATGGGTGAGGGGTTGGGGGTGAGGTGTGAGCATGAGAAGGAGATAACTCTCTCCCTCTTTCTCTATCCCTTCGTCTCTCGCGCTCAGTGTCTCTTTCTTGGTCATGTTGAAGGTGCTTTTCTTTGTCTTTGCCTCGCTCCCTGTCCCTTTGTAGGAGTTTTTCTCTGTCTCTTTCTAGGTCTCTGTCCCGGTCTCTTGGTGACCTGTCATGGCTGTTATGCAGACCCAGGGGGGAGTGAGGGGAGTTCCTTACACTGTGCTGCCTGGGTACTGGCTCCCTGTGCAGGTTGTACAGAGCGGTTCCTGAGGGGCTGTAGAGCGGGTAGGGCTGGACCTGAGGGCTGGGGTGGCCCACCGATCCTAAGGAGTAATAGATCTGGGCCTCAGCTGGTGTGACCCCTAGGGAGTCCAGGAGACCCCCTCTACCTCCCCTGGGGACTGGTCCCAGGGGATGGAGACTGGAGGAGAGTAAGCTGGTCTTAACTATCCCATGTGTATGTCTGTCCTGCAGTGAGGAATGTGTCTCAGGGCCCTCCTGAGCTAGAGAGTCTGACAAATAAGGCCCTCCAGTATGGACACGGGATGTTAGATCCTCCTGCTGTCTCCGTCCACCGTTGGTATGGGAGCTGTGTGGACCCATGTCCAGCCTGGCTCTGCTGCTCTCGTTCCCATAATCTCCTGAGAGCAGAGACCTGGAGGTTGAGGCAGTCCTGCTGCCAGGCCCCTCTAGGCCATTGAGCCTCTTGCCCAGGTATCTATGTCTGGCTTCAGTATAACTTGGATCTTGAGGGTAGAGAGAGTGCTGGCTGAACAAGTAAGAGGGGGAGAAGAGAGGGGAGCTGTTGTCCCGCCGGCCACTGTTGATGTAGGACCAAATCTCTCTAGAATCGGCTGGGTAGGGAGTCTTGAAGGAGGAGGCGGCAGAAGAAGATGGGGAAGGTGGCAAGGAGAGGGGGCCTTCCCCTCTGAGCCACCTGGAGTGGTGGGGCAAGGCTGAGGAGAGAGGATCATCTCTCCAAGCGGGAGACCCTGAGCCCCTCCTCTCTCCAATCTGCCCTGGGAAAAGGGGGAGGGAGATGGAGGGAGAGTAGCCCAGATGCCATGGTAGGGGCAGGGGGAGGCCTGGTGCTGGAGCAGGAAGGGGTGGAGGAGTATGTAGGAGATGGGGGCTCGGGTTGATCAGAGCTCGCTCCCTGTCGCTGGCCTCCCTGCCCCCCTCCCCTCCCCCTGTGCTGGACCGACTCCGGAGCGGCACAGGGGGTTTAAACTCGTCCAGAGGGGTGTTGTGTTCGGACGATCCTTGCCGAGATTCCCTTTTTTTGGGAGGGAGGCACTCTTTGCCGCGGTCGGGGCTGGGATTCATGGGTGGGCTCCAGCGGCACTGGGGGCCCCCTGTGTGTGGGTGTAGGTTAGGTCACATGGGCCTCACGGGAGAATGAGGGGGGCAGACAGAGAGGGACGCTGCTACACAGCATCACTGTCAGATCACTGTTGATTCTTTACGATTGAAGCGCCACTCACCTAGAGAGAGGATGAGAGTGGACAGAAACGGAGATAGAGAAGGTAAAAGGGAGGAAGGGGACAGAAAAAAAGACAGATTTAGTGAGGACACAGAACAGTCTGCCAGGTCCTGGCGTCAGTTGTGGTTAAGACCCAGCTGTCAGTCCAGTCAGACATGCAAACAAACATTCAGCAGCATCAGACAGATGGCCAGAAATCAGCTATTGACTCTCTTTTATGAACTTCTTTAAGAAGGTTAGAAACTAGCTTTCTGATAGCTCTCGCTAATTAGTCATTACCTATGAGCACTGCGGTGGGACTGAAACTACCCAGCTTACTCGTTTCATTCAAACACATTACTCCCACATGTGGACTAAAAATATATTTTGTTGCCAATGAAGTTCAGAGGCAGCACAGTATGTGTGTGTAGAAAAAAACCTCACACACACACAAAGAGCATTCACAGCAGGAGAGTTTTCATCTCTGACTCTCAGGGGATGATTGGAATATGTAGATATGTTTTTTGTACCACTTTCATGAACCACCCCCACGACACCCCCGGGTGTTCTCTGTATTCTTCAGTGTATGAGCTTACTACTAGCACCCCCCACCCCTTCTCTTTCAGACACACATGGACAGCTACAGACACACAAATACTCCCTCAGGCGGCAGTACTTACTCCCCCAGTGATAGGCAAAGCTGGTCACCACCCACCCAAAAGCTGACAAAAACACTGTTGATATTACCAACAGTTGTTGTGGATACAGGATATGTGTCTTTGCATATTAATTGTGTGTCACAGCAGGGGTGTGGAGAAATGTGTGTGATTGCTAGTGTGTGTGCATGCGTGTGTGTGTGCCATGTTTGTGTGCATGTGCAATCATTATTATTTTTTTCAAAGAGAAATGTGTGTTTGTTTGTTTAGGTCTCTGTGTGCGTGATTGTTTGTGTTTGAGTCCTCGAATGTGTCAGAGATTTAGCAGCCTTGTTTCATTCAGTGAGAAGTGCGGGGGAGCTCTACTAATTCTTCTCCAAGCGTTTTAAATGAGCTCTTTTGAAGTGATGGTTGCCGCAAGGCCAGCCCAGCTGATCGCCCCGCCACCGCCGCCACCATCTCTGCTCCCGCCGCCGCCACAACACCACAGTACTGTGCTGCCACTCAGGCCCGCACTCACCCGCAAGTCTGTCTCAACAGCCAACTCCCTGCCGTCTCCCCATCCACCACATTGTCACCATGGCAACTGTGTCCACACAGACACACACACACACACACACACACACACACACACACACACACACACACACACACACACACACACACACACACACACACACACACACACACACACACACACACACACACACACACACACACACACACACACACACACACACACACACACACACACGCACACACACACACGGTTGGAGAGGTTAGATGAGGATACTCCATGGAGAGGCGGGTAAACTGTTGCTCATCAAGTGACTTGGTCCAAAAACAGAATAAGTGTTAGAGTGGAGCAAGCTCTTTGTGCATCTGAGTGTAAAACTGAAAACTGGGTGGTGGTGAGAGGAGGGAGATTTTATTGTCCCAGACACTGACAGGACGGGTGTGATGTTGTAGAAGGTGGGAAATACACGTTACTGTTGTGATGTTAACCTCGAAAGTCCAATTTAGGGGAACTTGGTTGTCAGTTCCCCTGAAAGATAACATGGCCTTCTGTGAGCCAAGAAAACCCAGTGACTTTTAGGGTCAATGAAAACAGCTATTCCTTTAAAAAAAAAAAAAACTGCCTTCAGATGGCAGCAGAAATCAGGTGTGCTTTTTGTAATGGACATACATATTTATTTATATCAATATTTTCCTAAAATAATTAATATTTCGTCAAATGATGTGTGATGATCTCATCAAGCTAATAAACCAGTTAATATTGTGAGAGTAAAAGCTTGAGAACCTGCATAGTTTAGCATTTATTTGACTAAATAGAAAAAGATAAACGACAAATAAACATATTTTGCCAATACAGATAGATGGCTTAGGTTTTTAAGAACTTATAAAATCCATGCCGATATCTTAAAATAAATGCTTAAGTTAGACACATCATTCAAAATACTAACTTTTGACCAACTTATCACTTTAATAAAAATGAAAAGCTCTACTCTATGTTGGCTGCACACGAACACTGCACACAAATCCAGATTTCACACAATACAAAAAACTCGATTTCCATATTTGTCCTCAGATGACCCTGACAGCCTTGTAATTTCGCGGGCCCTTATAAAAAAGGTTGTCAAAATAGACCTAATATAAACTTGCCAAAAAAGTACAAGAAAACAAAGAACATTATTGTGCATGTGGAGGAGTTTGCAGAGACATATATTTGAACAGAATACTCCTACACCGTGGAGAGATGCACGTAGAGAGTTACTGTAAGCTGGAGCTACTGTTCTTGTAGAATTTAAATACATAAAAAAATTATGAAAAAATGCAATGTCCTTCCAATTAATACTCCTCTATACTTTTGACTTGCTTTGTGAGCATGATACAATCTAAAAAAAATTAACAATTAAATTGCTTGAAACTGAAACAAAATAATTGTTTTTATATTAAATTGTAAAATGCTTACATTCCTGTTCTTGCTCTTAATTCATTTTCAAATGTGTCATGCGTATTTGCACCGCTCCACATCATCCCGCCTTTTTCTCTACATGCATTTCTCAGGAGAACTGTCAAACTTGTCTTTTTACTCTTTGCAGCAAACCCTTAGAAAAACCGGACTACCAAACATCCCTCTAGTTTTGCAATCCAAATAAAACATCAATTGATAGTTCAGTATGCTAATTGCCAAACAAAAGCACTCCACAACAGCTCTCTTAATCCAAAAGAACATTTAGAGAGCGTGGGAGCAGGCGGCAGGTTGATGGAGTTGGTTTCTTGTTGTGATGTGATGTGAGACTGACCTTAGAGCAGGCTGAGCAGATGTCCCAGTCTTGGTAGTCATTCATATTCCAATCCTCCTTGGGTCAACCCACTCCTCAGCTCCTCACTGGGCAACACTGCTCCTCCACACTGCCGCCACTCACAACACCCGCAGCAATCAGCAGCCTCCAGCTACACACTGCCTCTGATCTCCGATTGAATAACACCAGCAAGCCCACCAAACTGAAGGAAAGAACTGAGTGCCTGTTATCTGTCTCTGTGTCTGCTGTATATGTGACTGTGTGTGTGTGCCAAGAGTGTGTGTGTGTGTGTGTGTGCGCTTGTGTGTTTGTGCTTGAGTGTGCAAAGGGCTGAGGAAATGAGTAATATCTAGCAGTGAGAAACATGTCTGCTATGCAGAGCCACACAGGCAGACCAGTTGCTGCTGCCGCCCACTTGCTTTAATCACTGTGACACACACATACACACACACACACACACACACACACACACACACACCACACACACACACACACACACACACACACACACACACACACACAACACACACACACACACACACACACACACCACACACACACACACACACACACACACACACACACACATACACACACACACACACACACACACACACACACACACACACACACACACACACACACACACACACACACACACACACACACACACACACACACACTATATGGGCGAACACAAACACTCAAGGATGCAGCACATACAGATTATATATTGGGCGGTATATGTTGACTATATGCCGTCTTGTACTGGTGGAAGGTATGGTTTCTACTTAAGTTTCACCAGGTAATTGTATCCTTTGACATGACAAGTCATTAATAAATCAATTAATAATTCATTCATTCAAATATTAAGCAATATGTCTGAAGACATTTTGGCACATATAAGAGGGGGAAGGATGAAGGGGAGGCAGAAAGACATTTGATAACAGGGAGGCTCATCCCACACACACTCTCAGAGTTAGGCTTTTGCTGCTGCCTCTGACTCAAAAGTAAACCTCATATTTATCAAACACACACACACACACACACACACACACACACACACACACACACACACACACACACACACACACACACACACACACACACACACACACACACACACACACACACACACACACACCCCACACACACACACACTATACGTATTCTCCTTGTTTTCATCTGAATGTGTGTCCTTTGTTCTCATCAACGCACTTAAAGATTTATGAATACGTTTTGATTTGACTTAATATGTGTGTTTAACAGGAGATCTCTGAATGAAATGCCTCAGTGATTCAGGCAGGGCAAGGGAAGTGTGTTGGTATGGCTTATCATGACTGAATTGGAGAGATCAGTGTCGTTCATTCACGGCAACAAATCAGAAACCTGTCTGTACAAAAACCTTTTCAAGAATAATAAAAAAGCACACGGTTAGAAATGCAATGCAATGCAAATAACACCGTTGGCTTCTTGTCAAATAACAGGGCCAAACCTCAGTTCAAACAAGCTTATGTTAATTACCAGTGCAGAACTGTAATAAAGGAACAAACATATAAATTGGAGCAGAGGGAGAAATAGGATTTAATGAAGCAATTAAATTATTATTGCTGGTGAATTGTAAAAGATCTTTATGTGCTTTGTTTCAAGAGCAATACAGGCAACTCAACCTTTCAAACAGAACAAAATGCAGACATGCATCAACCAATGTTTTCCTAATGAGATGTTAACCTTGTCTAGCATCCCAACCTCAATGGTTTGGTAAGCTAATTGTATTTAGATGTGTGTGCAGACACATCGGCACGAAGGCCGCATTGAAACCCTCTCACAGTGTGTGACAATTGTCAACCAAGTCTCCCGTTGACATTTAGGAGATAATTTGTTCAAACTGAATGTTTCTGTGGTTGTGTGGGCACAAGCGCTGTCTGCTCTAGCAGTATTTGTGTAGGTTCATTATAAATATCAAAGCTGATAGAGTGAAGATGCTGATATTTTAATTTCAGAGCATCTTGGTTTAAATTAAATAATATTGTTAGCCACTACGGGTCACTACGTGATGAAAAATGAATGGAAAGGTAATGATCATTCAGTCTTGATGAACAAAAGTAACAACAATATGTACATTAAGCTGTGAATAGAAAAAAATCTGAAAGATGAAAAAAAAATCCATCTGTTTATGATAACATTAATTCATATTCACTAAACATGATCAAAAAGCCAAGATTGTGTTGTATCTTACTGCTTTGGTGAAAGCTTGTTTAGAAACAGGAAATGCTTAAATCTACTCTATTAACCCTTATCTGTTTAAATATATTTTTTAAACGTAACAGCTGATTTGAATGGAGGGTTTGCAGCATGTCAAAATAAAGAGTATATTAAACAAAATGCTCCATGCTTGCAAGCTGACAGATTGTATTTAACAATGTATACTAAATGGTCCCATACAAAATGGAACAAGATACAATCCTACGTAAACAACACCTTTTTTACAAATAAAATGTAAACTGAAGTTAGTGAGAAATTACAATTTGTATATTATAAGCACATTAGGGTAATACATAAAATGAAGTGAAGCAAATCAAATAATGACTTCCTCCTAAAATCATGACATCTCTGCCACGTAGTCAGCATTAAGTTAAAACAAAATGTGATTGTACAATTTACATAAATTGTGTATTCAGTGCTTGATATACATTTAGATGTAATAGTCAGTCATAATGAAAGAGGAGAAAAGAGAACAAGGACTGAGATATACAAATGACTATTATGCTCTACTCGTGCAGCACACTTTGATATTAAGCATTATTGAACATGCATACACGCAGAAAGGCCAACATTAACATGAATACAAAACGCACAGTAGAGTCCCACTGAGACATTAGGTGCAGTCTTTCTCCATCTAATGCTTGCGGTTCCTGTCTGTCTCTCTCTAGCTGGTGCACTATTGTCACCTGCCCATCACACACACACACACACACACACACACACATCACACACACACACACACACACACACACACACACACACACACACACCACACACACAACACACACACACACACACACACACACACACCACACACACACACCACACACACCACACACACACACACACACACACACACACACACACCACACACCACACACACACACACACACACACACACACACACACACACACACACACAGGGTCAGGCTTAGACAAGAAAGGTCAGATGAGTCACACTACACCCAACAAATCATAGTGGTGGAAGTGTTAAGTAGCAAAAGGCTTCCACAGGTGAGACTTTAGAGACTGGATTTACTTCCCTCTCCTCGTCACTTTCTATTGAACACAAGACATGTTTTACTACTTTATGATTTATTTTTTCTGCAACCAAAACACCATACTGCTTCTTTTATTTGTGTCCCTTCCTCATGCGTAGCCTCGTGTGGGGTGTCTGATCACGTTTCAGGCTGAGAGGGGGATCTATGATGGACATCTGATGCAGCAGAAATTTGTTGCTGAATGTAACAGATCTGAACAGAGGGGAGAGTAGAGGAGAGTGTGGGGGGGGGGGAGGGTGTAGAGGACACACTAGATACAGATAGATAGATGGAAAGTTGGAGTGACGGCGGGAGTTGGTGGGGGGGAGGAGGGGAGTACTACTAGCCGTGTGTGGTGGCTTACTCCACAAGGAGCTGAGTTAAGCTGATAAAAGTACCGGGTGATACGGTGTAGCTTATTGGGCAAAAGGCCAGGTCAGCCTTCAGGGCCGTGACCCATTCTTCGACAGGATGAGCCAGCAGCTCTGCACGCAAAGACTCATTCTAAGATTGACTCCATGTGGGAAATGTGCTCACTCTTGACACACTTGCACACATTGCCGTCGCACAAATTGTTGACGAATAAGACCAACAGCGTGTGCCATGGGTGCAGCAAACAAAATTGAATATAACTTTCTGGAAAGCAGAGTTGTAAACAGAGTGTGCTGAATATTGCCGGAAAAGAGCTGATTGGAGGAGAGTAGAACAGTGTGAGTGGTGCAGACTAGAGGGTGACGCCTGTAATGTATTGCTGGGTTAATCCTGGTACAGCCTAAGGAAGGCTTAGTATAGTTCTGGGAGGAAATCCCCCTGTGTAGTGGTACAGGCCATTAGCCCCTTGGGTATAAATAGGGCAGCCATGGCTCCTTAAGCTGGCTTTTACGCAATATCAGTTAAAAATATGACTTGACTAATTACATGCAGGTCAGCCAGTCAGCAGAAGCAAAAATTCCTCCTCCTCGTTCTCCTCTTCCTCTGACCATGGCAGACTGCTGCAGTGTCTCTGCTACACAAACACATACACCGCCTGCACATGCAAGTGCGCATGCAAAGGTCAACAGGGAACAAATGGAACAGTTCAGAGGTATTCTGCAAACCTTGTGGCTGACATTTTCTAAGGCGGGTGTCATGTTGTTGTCATTCAATGACATTTAAGTGTCTACTGATGGGAGTTTCATTTCTGCACTTTTCCACTGTCTCAATCTGATGCAGGATCTGCACCAGCTACATTGTTAACCACAAGGACATGGCTTTGGTTCAATTTGTTGGACTCATATGAATCACAAACACTCTTAAATAACCATCAAATGGTTACAAAGCTATGTCAAGTTATTCTCATTCATGCATTCTTGCTGCTCACTTATTATTTTGTTTTTCAACTTTTGACATGCTCAACTTCACTGGCTCACAGGTAGCAGTCGCTCTCACTAGTTTGTGACATGATTATCTCAACTCGGAGCCCTTGATGCGAGTAGTACTCTCACGCTATGAGATCCGTCGCTTCCAAGGGGGTTTAAGAGAAGAGGAGAGGGGAAACAGAGAGAGAGGAAGAGAGAGCGGGACTTGGAGACGGACACATTCTCACGGGTGTAGAAACACCGTGTGTGAAAGAGGAGAGAGATTACTTTTCATTCCAAAGATCTGTTGTTTTGGCTTTGTCCCCTGGCGACTGACAGTCAAACTGGGTTGTTTTTTTGTTGGTTCTCAGTTTATCAGCAAAATGTCAGCAAGCTGTAAGCAAACATAGTGATGACTTCTCCACTGAGAGAGCACGGCCAGGTCTCCTGTTAGAATCTCAAATGCCATTCATTTACAGAGCCACTGTCTAGACTTGTTTCAGCGATACTGTCTGGAGTACCTTTATCACTGCTGGCATTCAAGGCAATATTGCTATACACTGCCATTATTGCTTTTGCTCTACAACCCCTCCTACACCAAATCTGCTGCCGAGCCACACACAGTCACAGCCATTTACTCAACACACGGCTCATGCTGTTTGTTATCGAGGGTGCTGTAAATTATATTGAAGTAGGATTCAGTGGGCTTAATGCTTGTTTTCAAAATCAAAATAGGGAGAGTCCCTCTTGAGAGAAAACCTTTATCACACAGCTTTTTCATAATCTCT